GCGTCAGCTGCAAGAAATAAACAGCAAAGTTAGTAAAAATCCCAAGTAAACAAGGCGTGAAAAAACAGAGTATTGGTCAGGCCGGCTACCTCTAGAGCACCGACTGCTGAGGCCACAGGCGGCCAAAAAGTACTCGTCATAGAGCCACTTGAAGCTCGGGACGCAGTTTAGGGGTACTTGCTCTCGTACCCCTGAAGTAGAGTTCACCCTAGTCTCTACTTTGAAGAGTCCTTTGTCTAGGATCTCTCTTTTAGCCTTTGGGGGAACAGACGGCATGCTGCGGCCGCCTGCGAGAAGAGGCGGATCCCTATTCCACTTGTTAAAGCGTTTGTTCAGCTCCGTGTCTGAACCCTCGATAATAAGGAAGGTGTTCCGCCAATCCTTCCATTTGTTTGCCTTACCTCTCGTCATGAGGTAACCCCTATGGCTTGTTAATTGATACCAGCCGGTACCTCCCGACTTAGGGGTCCGGCTGAGATAGTTCATGTGGGCGAAAGCCTCAAAGCTTGGCTCCACCCCGTTCATTTCGCACCCGGCCACATAGCCGAGTACGTTTACCCAAGAGTTGGGGGCTAACTGCCATAACCCCAGATCATACCCATCTAAAATCCGCTGAACAGCCGGATGTAATGGGAAGCGCAGTCCAGCTTTGATGGCCGCCACATAGCAGCCAAAGCAGCCGTCACCATAGCTGGTACCAGCCGGCCAGACGACAGTGTCTTCTGGATCCGGCACGAACAGTAAAAATTTCGGGCCCATTTTGTGGTTAGCAATAAAGCTCGCCACGTTGTCTTGCATGGTTGCGATCCGGCCCCGGGGTACCCTGCAGTAGTAGGGGGCGTTTTCCTCTCTGTAAGAGGCGGACGGCTCCGCCCAATTGTCCCCCTTCTCAACTGCATGAGAACGTCTCGCCTCTTGTAGGCGGCTATGTTTTTCTTCTGAGCCAGGAGAACTGTGGCCAGAAGAGCTGGACTCGGACTCGTCCTCTGACGAGTCCGAAGAGGACGACTCCTCCCCTCTCCTAGAGGGGCCCGCCTCCTCTCCCTTAGAAGGAGCAGGAGGAAAATTAGACATGTCAACGGTAAGATGGGAAGGGACCACCTTGGCCCCTCTCTCAGAACTGTCGGCTTGACAGTCGGCTCGTTTCAATTCTACATCTGGCGCCTGGTCAGATGTTTCACTAAGGAGCACCCTTTGGGAGGAGCCGTCTGAGTTTGATATCATAGCAGTCTGTTTCGTTCTGGCCATCACGTTCTGCATAGACACAGATACAGTCGGACTTTGTATAAAGAGCAAAGATGGGTCCAGAAAAGGGCAGGCGGCACTCCTAGTCCTAGATTCAGCCGTTCCCGGTGACCGGCTGATCACTAACTTAGGTCGTGTCGTGTGCTTCCGTGGTGCCATTTCAAAAAATAAAAAGAAAATTAAGAATAAGAGAACTGAGTTACCTGAACGAGTGACGGTTGATGAAGTCCTGGAAGTTCGGGTCAGTCGGCTTGTCAGAACAGGCGGTAGGCAGAAAAAGTCCGAAATGTCAGAGCAAGTTCAGGGGTCCGAATGTTCTCGCAAAGTTCTCAAATGTGAAAATGACCGAAGTCAGCACTTCCTTTTATAGGCAAAGTGAGAAGGCGAAGGGTCGCTTCCAAATTCAAAATTTGGGCGGGAAAATCTCTCGGCCGTTTGCAAGGTGACACCTGTAACAGGTCGTCGCCTGTCACCGTGCGACACCTGTCACAGGCGACCCGTGACCAGTCACGTGCCACCTGTGAGGGGCAAATGATTAGGGGATTTTTATCCACCAATCACCGTCTGACAAGTGGACCAACCAGGTTCCGCCACGTGTCCTTCACGAAGGACAACAGGAGCCTGCCACGTGTCAATCACAGATACGTCCTCTACGGACCACTTTAGACACGCCACGTGTCCACCCATGCCAGATGGGAAAACCGGCCATCAAGGCCCAATTCACTCTAGAGGCCCGATCAGCCCTAGGTTTACCTTAAACCTAGAGAGTTGCACGCTTCTCAAGGCTATAAATACTTAATTAATCCTCATTAATCACAGGAGGGAATAATCAAGGAATCAAGCAGAGAAGAACAGAGTTATTAACAACCGGCTAATCTCGCTAACGACGCAGATTACCAACACTAAGCACTCTCACCTAGAGAGATCTCATTCCTTTAATTTCTGTATTGATTACTCCTTAATCAGGTACTAACTTGACCGTTGGAGGCGGAGCTCTCAGGAGTCTCCGTTATTTTGCAGGTACAGGCGTCCGGTTCCAGTCTCGGAATTGTAACTCTCCCGCAGGACATCAGAAAACCCCGAAACACTAGACTTTCCATACTTTTATCTCATCCGATTATGATTCGACGTGAAAGGTACTCATCACTGGGTTTCGTTTTGGGGAGACACAAATTGGTTTCTACAAAAGCCCCCACTTTGACTGAGTTTGGAGAAATGCAAGTTTCGAAAACAAAAGTCAATGTATCGATAGGGACGAAGAATGATTCAGAACGTTCTGCGATCCTAAATCATTCTTAAAACGCCGATACCTACAAACTAGCGTTAGTTTAAAACAGATAAAAGAGTTAAGAAACGTGTCTTGCACCGTCGAGCACACGTCTCTGAAGGTAATTGATTTGATGCTTTTGCTGTTGTGACAACCTTCCGCATGCTAGGGAACGCCATCCTGCTGTTTGTTTTGACGATCTTCCGCAAGCTAGAGAATACCGCCTGAAGACTGCTACGCCTGTAACTGCCTCCAATTCCGCCGTGATAGTCTTCGAAAGACCACTACTTGTTGATTCTTAATGTTGTTATGCCAGTGCGTCGACACTTTTGCTGCTTATGAACCAGTATGTCGGTGCTTCTAAATTGTGAATCACTATGTCGGTGCCTTTTGGTTTATGAGCCAGTATGTCGGCGCTTTTGCTGTGATGACAATCCTCTTTTCTTTGGGAATAGTCGCCAACACAACTCTTGTATGATGTATGACAATTCGATTTGGGGAAAGTTGTCAATGCTTCGTAATAATCCATCCTTGGAAATGTTGTCACGATGAAGCGACAATCCGTATCTCGAAAAATTTGCCAAAATCCAATTTTGGGAAAAGTTGCTAATGCTTCATTACAATCTGCCATAAGAACTTTTCTATGATCGACAATCCACATCTTGGAATATAACTCTTGAAAAGCAATCCACCTTGGAAATTTTCCAATGCTATGCGACAATCCTTTTAGGAAAATATTGCCACAATTGACAAACCGCGTCTTGGAACATTTGCCAAAAAAGAGTCGATCGACAATCCAATTCGGGAAAATTTGCCACTTACTGAAATGAATTAAAATTCACGTTGAGGAATCCTTGCCGAAATTTATGATGAGTAGAGACCTACGATAATCCTTTGGGAAATTTTGCCATAGGGAACTGGGTGTATGACAATCCAATCTCGAAAAACTTGCCAAAGATCAATGAATGTATGACAATCCGAACTTGGAAAAACTTGCCAAACAAAGAAGGAGCACGACAATCCATGCTGGGAAACTTTGCCAGAGATGACAATCCAATATTGGAAAAAATTGTCGTTAAAGAATATGCGCAACAATCCATATTTGGAACATTGTCAGTTGGGGATGACAATCCAATCTTGGAAAAATTGTCGTATAAGAAGAATGCACGACAATCCATATTTGGAAATATTGTCGTATAAGTGCTTTGCTTTGCTTTTGAATCGATACGTTGATGTTTGTAATGAGCCAATGCTTAGGCGCTTAAGCTAAGTGAGACGATCGTCATCAGCTCAATCACTTACTGCGATTGTAATCAAGTCGCCTACTAATCATGTCAATTTTCTTATTGGGGCTAATTGGCATACCAAGGAGCCCGAAATTTCTATATAGGGTCGAAATAACCATTCCAAGAGGCTTCGATTTTTGTTGCTGCTACAACGCCTCTAGTGCCACGATTTTGCACTGTCGTCGGGTCTTCCCTATTTTACTCTTGCTATTGTTGTTCGTTGCTCAGTTTTGCTTCGAACTTTGAATTTGGTCGTTTTCTTTCGACCAAACCCGCTCAAATATTTTGTAAATTAAAGCTCTTCATCTCTAATTTACTGATCCGTGTAATGTTGCTTAAACTCCTCTCATCTTGGAAAAGTCTCTTGTGTCACATTCGCGGTTTTAAAAAAAAAATCCGGAAATGTTCCTGCTTGCTGGGATGCACCTGCATTTATATCTTTGAGTATAGGTTTTTGCTCATTTAATTAGGGTTGACCTAAGACTTAGCTTGACTCATTGACTTGACATGACTCAAGGTATAACGACTCACTTCATGTGACTCGTGTATGCATAGTTTTGACTCTATGTGATAACACGACATGACTTAATATGTACATGACTTGTGTGTGCATTGTAATGTGATCGTGTTACTCGAAAATGCAAAAAAGTAAAAATTTTCAAATTTTTAGTCATTTTTATGGTGGGTACCGACTTTCTCCCGAAAAAGAAAGACGCGAAAAAAGAAAGAAGCGAAGTTTTTGAATGCATGTTGAATGAGCTTAATCCATTCTCATAGTACAAGGATTGTAACGTCTTAGACTATCCTAGTTGACTTGATAATGAAAGTATTTAGGTAACTTAGGCGCGGAGGCTAAGTACTTCATACTTTATGATGGAATGATGAGTGATCTTGATATGACAAGGCAACCTTCAGCATTGTGTTAAGATTTCATGACAAAGGGTTCCTAAGGGAAGTATACACTTTTACATAATTAACCTTAAGTAACACCCAATGGTAACACTGTAAAAATTTCATGAGTGTTTGATTTTTGGGTAACACTTTTGTAACATTGTGATATTAGGTAACATATTTAATAGCACTTTAATATAATGTAACACTTTATTGTAACACTTTGATATTAGGTAGCATTTGGTTGTAACACTTAATTTGACATGATTTTTTTTTTTAAAATCCAATACTTTTTGTCAAAAGATCGACCCTCATAGCCATAACCTCACTGTTGCCCTTATCTTGCTCCCGCTGCTCCACTAAAGCCCCAGTCCATTGCAGCCTCCCTCCATCGCAACTCGTGCTCCAACTTGAAGACATACACAGCAACAACAACCCGTGCTCCAAGTTAAAGGGACAATGATTGCCACCCACAAAGACAGTGGTTGCCACCTCCTTGCCTCCATCCCTTAAATTAGGGTTGAGGTTAGTTCTGTTTCATCTCCCTTCCATTATCAACATGAATTTGAGTAGCTAAAATTAGGGTTTCAATTCCCTCTCTCTGATCTTGTTGATGATTTCTTAATTTAATGTTGAATTCGCCTATTAACATATTTAATTTCGCTATTTTCCATACTAAATTTTGCATGCATCTGAATTGGGTGAAGTTAGGATTTTTTTTTTTTTTTTTTAGGTTTTTCAATTATGGCTGATTTGTTTTTCCTTTGTAATTTGATCTTTTATTAACTAATCTGACCAATTTTTATTTAATTATGTTCTTTTCTAAATTGATTTCTGGTAAGCTTGTCGACAATCCAAATAATTGTGGGAAAAGAGATGCAAAAATCCAAAAAATGCCATTTATAATTGAAGAATTGGTGTTTCATATACAAATTACTTCTGCTATTCCTACTACTTCTTAAACCACCACTCTTGGCAAAGTGGCAAGGTTTGCTTTTATTTATTTATTTATTTTATTAATCTTAAGCTCTTATTATATAATTGGATTTTTATTTCTCATTACCTCAATTATTTTTTACTTTTTCCTGATTATTTGTTACTTTGTAAGTAATTTATGATAACTGCATCAATTGTCACATTTTCCAGGCTTTAATTTTGTGGGGTAAAGATGATAATATTATGCAATTTACCCATTTTTCTGGATTTTGCTTGATTTTGGGATTTTAGGTGATTGATTAGTTATACTCTGTTTCTCTCTTTCTCATGGCAGCATAATCAGTTACCTCTAGTAAAGCTCTCAATTGTTAGGTTACGTGACTAATTTAAGAAATTAGCAAGTGTGTGATAATGCCAATAGGGAACCTACAGGTGGTATGACAAAGAGGTCAATTAGGAGTTATATTGATGGAGACTTAGTCCTTTAGAAGAGGCTACACGAGAATATGTATACTCTTACACCATGACTCATGAGTGTGGAGCTCTTATGGCCACAGGAAGGGCAGTCTTACTGTCCCAATCTTCAAAGTCTGTTCCCTGAAACAAAGAGTGAGCACGCCGTGCTTCCTCCTCGTGATATACCAATGATCCATGCTAGTCTTAGCAAACACTTATACCCCCACTTGAATCACTTGATTGAGCTTCTCTCCACACCAACATTTCTGATAGCTTCTTGTCGACTTTAACAATTTGATCCTCGCTTTAAGAACAGAAGTGTCCTAAATAACTTTATCAGTTGTGATTCATTTCCCATTCTAGAAAATTAGCCAATGTTCAAAAATCAGATAACACCCCCTTGCAAAAAACAGAGTAGTTCAGAATTCAGATTAGCTAGCAGGATATAGAAAGAACACTCAAAAAATATTTTCCCACATCAATGATTTCCAAGAAGATGGTAGTAGCCTTGGGGGGTCAATGGGTGGATCATAGCCTAAGTAGTATCTCATAATTTGTGTCGTCAATGAAGCCGCGTTCACGTAGCTTCTGCCCCACTCCAGAAGTCAAGATACAACTTTTTTACTCTGAAACCACAAGATATTTACTCTGTTTATATAATCAGTTACCTCCAGTCAAGATCTCAATTGTTAGGTTACATGACTAATTTAAGCAATTGGCAAGTGTGTGATAATGCCAATAGGGAACCTACAGGTGGTATGACAAAGAGGTGAATTAGGAGTTATATTGATGGAGAATTAGTCCTATCATGTAATCAATATATTGATTTATATTATGAATTAGTGGCTATGTATTTTAACTAGAAACTACAATATTGTTTGAGCCTTAGAGGCCATGGCTTTTAAGTTTCTATACTTTCATATTTATTTTTCTTGAGTAGTTGTACAAGGACTAGTAATTTATCCTGATAGTCTTACATTACCGTAAAGTGGTACCCTTAGTTATACAATGTGACTAAAGTTTGAATGAGTAATTAGAATATCCATTGACTTAGTGCTAGCAAGGCACATGATTTATCCAAATTCACTATGTTAGTGTATTATTCCTATTCATCTTTCTTCACAAAGAGGTAGAAATTCGAGATAAAGCATGAGATAAGTGTATATTAATCTCTATGACTTTGTTATGAGAAAAGTAAAGGCAAGTTATGTACTACTCATAGCTAGAAGTCTAGAATTTAATTTTTCTTGCGATCTGAATGCTTGTAATGGTAAATCTACAGCAAAAAGTCAGTGACCAGCTAATGATTTTTGGTTGGGTTTATGTAAAAGGAGAATAGGTGATCTAAAGGGAACCACCTTCTTCATTTGTTAGACCTCAAATCACCCCTCCTAATCAACCTCACTAGCAAATTTCAGTCTTTATAAGCGAGTTTGATATGAGGATTTCGTAAGTACTCTCCTATTTTCTTCCCCTCTTTATTCTTTGCTTATTTCTTCAATATCCTCATTTTATTTGTGATTCTTTATCGATGAACTGTTACTCTTTGATTTTATTTGAATTTCATGTTTTTATCTATATTTTGATATTTATCTTGTAATCTTGTCGCATATCATTAGTGTTGTTAAACCTATTTATTTGTCAATTTGGTTTCTGTTTTGGTTTAATTTTGTATGAATCTTTTCGGTAATTGCTTACTAATTTTAAAATTCATACCTTAATTAAGGAGTACGTTAAGAAACCTATAGGTTTTTAGGGGAATTATCAGTTTCAATTTTCTAGATACACCTTATTTATATAAAAAGAGACCTGGAATTGGTAAATTAACCAAGCTAAAATTTCTAGTAAAAACTTTGGAACTAATTTTTGTTCATGTGAAATACAATTTTAACTAATTGGTCTTAAAAAGCAATTGAGAATTTGAATTAACTTGTCACTGCAATCGCCAATAAGCCTGCCCAAGTATTAGTATGGTTTTCACTCTTTTTTTTTTATTATTGTATTCTACCAGTAATAAGCAATCTTTAAGCAATAACTCTTACATATGGTACAATGAAGCCAATTAGTACTAGGACCAACAGTTACAGGGATAAATATTCATAATTAAAAGTTTAAATTATTCTACAGTTTTATGTGAGACTAAATCCTAATCAAATTATTACAGATTATTAAGGATGAAATTACTAAAGGTTATTATTGTTAGTTTGTTGGACATTTTTTTCTCATAGTATTTATGTTATATTGGCTCCTTTTCCTTTTATTGTTTGATTTTCATGATAATTCAATGGCTCGCTATCTATCTCTCGATGTGGAAGGTGCTACATCATTTGCTCCTGTAATTGAAATGGCCATGACAATTGTTGAGGAGAGTGGAGGACAATACCATGTTTTACTCATTATTGCAGATGGATAGGTATTTGCTTTCTTTAAATTTGAAGTGTGGGTTGATCAATTTCTTTGAGCTTCTATTTTTTGCACTATAAGATCTGTATGAATTGGCTGAAATGTTATGTTGACAAATGAACTTGCATTGCTCTTGGTATATGGTGCTCAATTTATCTGTTATAGATTTATAGGGTCGTAATACAATATGACCTATATTTGCTTAACTTTAGTGCATATTTGATTGGTTTTTAATTTTATTTTTTTGCTTATTGTGCAGATTGATTGAAGACAAAAATACTCGTAAATATTCAAGAAATTAGTAGAAGATAGAGATAAACTTGATTTCATTAGTTTATTTCCTTGGAGTTGTTGTGCAGTTTTGTTCTTTTTTGTATAGTAATAGTGTAATGGAGTACTATTAAGTATTGATTTATTTGCTTTTATCTTGTATTTGACTTCACCTTACCAATTAAAGATTGAATTTAGTTTTATTGATAATGAATGTAGCTTGTTGTGAACATGTGAAGTACTCCGTATCATTTTGTGATTTTTGTAATAATAAAATTAAATTAAAAATATAATGTAACCCATTAATTAATAAGGTGTTACATTAGTGTGCAAAAAGTGATACATAAAGTGTTACTATGTGTCAAAATATGATAGAAAATGTTACCTTATAACTAAGAAGGTGTTACATAAGTTTGCAAAAGTGATACACAAAGTCAGATAAAGTGTTACTATATGAATGAAAATGATACTAAAGATAAGTGTTACATAAGAAATAAAAAGTAACACTTTTAAAATGATACTAATAATATAAAAAAGTGTTACATATGAGGGTTTATAATAACACTTTTAAAAGTGTTACTATACGTTACTTAAAGTGTTACATAAGACCAAAGGTAACATGGGCGGATGTATCACCCACTAAAGTGTTACCTATTGTCTTTAATAACACTTTTACCACTTTATATAACACTTTTTGGGTGTTACTTAAGTTCAATTATGTACTAGTGATATTTGGTCATGTATCTGTGATGTGTGTGATAGTGACACTAAAGTTAGGCCGCAAGGGCTAAGTGTGTGGAAAAATATATTGAAAAGAGTCAAATGGTGGTAACTCTTAGGCTAGGTAGGTTAATGATGTAAGGGTCAAGCCCCTAAGTCTAGCTCTACATGAATAGGGATGAGCATTGGAGATCCTTTGATATGATCATGGTGTGAGTGTGTGAATGTGAATATGAATGCAGTTTTATTACGGCCGCACCCCAATGGTTGCCTACGTATTCGTTAGGAATCAGACCGAACGTAGCTCTAGCCGAACCTCGCACAAGTGTGTATACCTCATAAAGGTCTTTTGAAGGGTTGTAACGTGGTTAGGCTAAAGGTTGAAGAAGAAGGGGATAAAGGCTCAAGACCCTTGATAAGCCCCCCAAGGTGTGCAACCTTACTTTTGAATATTTGTATTTTCATGCTTGAGGCTTTTAACTCTTTTTTACCTCTCTCTTTTGCTTTAGCATTTATTTTATTTTTATAAGTTGGGCAATCCCGATCATGCGGTCTATCACTCACTTGACATTCATGTTTCTCAGGCATGTACCGAGCACTCGATAAGAGACGCAATCTGAGACGTGTTCATATCAAAGACATGTTCATGCAAAGACATTGGAAACTTGCCCTTTTGTACACTTTATTATTTCTATTTTTTGCTTATTTTTTGCTATTTTAATCTTTTGAAATCACTCAAGCTTTTTAAAATTGCATAAATTGCACAATGTCCCATCCCAAGGTTAGGTAGATGTAGGTTGAAGAAAGACAGGTCTATCGTTAGACGAGGCTCAAAGTGGTTTATCAAAAAAGGATTGTATATTTTAAGGGTGAAAGGTGATATGATGTGGCTACAAGGAGTGCCTCAAATCATTGGTATACCTTGTTCTTAGTTTGACAATGACTTTTTTTTATTTTATTTTTTTTAGCAATGCAATGCAATGATCATATGCGAGGAAATAAATGCTCATTTTGTTAAAAGGGAAAAAGAAAAAACCTACAAAATAAATTTAAGGGAAAAGAAAGGTGCCTATTCTAGACTTATTGGGGAAAGGAAAAAATAAAAAAGAAATAGAAAAAGAGGTCATGAAATCTTGTCGTTGAAACTCGCCTCTTGTCTTGTGTTGTTTGCTTCATCATCACCCAGTCTTCTCGCTAGCTAGAGGCAATGGGATCTTGTTTGCTTCTATGAGATCTTGAATGAAATTTTGAAACTTGTAGCATTCATCAGTGGTATGACCGTTTCCTCGGTGGTACTTGCAATAAGAGTTGGGATTCCATCTCGAAGATCGATTTTCTGGCGTTGGATCCTCGGTAGGGCCAATAGGTTTGATTAATCCTCCATCAAAAAGACGATCAAAAGCAGCATCGTAGGTCAGGCCAATAGGTGTGAGTTCTCTCCTGGGTTTCTTTTTGGATCCTTGATTATCCACAGCTAAGACACCATTATGGTCAAAGGTACTAAATTATTACTAGAGTGAGCGTTTTCGAAAGAAGAAGGATTGTCGTTCTTCTTTCCTTTCCAGCCACTGTGATTGCTATTGTTAGTAGCTTTTTGTTTTGCGAGGTCATCCTCAATTTCAATACCGATGTCATAAACGGCCTTGAAAGTATTCAAATTATATTGATATTTTAAATGCTTCGAATACTTTTCTTGTAAATTTTTTATGAACATCCTCACAGATTCTTTTTTGGAGGGCACCTCAATCATCTTAGCGGAAGTTTCCCTACACTTATTAAAGAAATAAGTAAATCCTTCATTCTCTTTTTGTCTTAGCATCTCAAGTTGTCTGTAATCGGTTTCAACTTCAATATTACACTTATATCTATCAATGAAAGCATTTACAATAGCATCCCAAGTAGAAGTTTTCTCTTTATCAAGAGAAAATAACCATTGTTGGCCAACGGTTTCAAGAGATAAGGAAAACAAGGAATGAAAGACTTTCCTATAAATCCCCTTAATGTTCATTATAGTTTCAAAGGCTCTTAAGTGAAAGTAAAGATTATCTGTTGCCTTGAACTTAGGGATGTCAATGGCATTGAACTTCTGCGAAAGAATCTCCTTTTCCACCGAGACCCCTTGCAAGCTAATGCCCTGAAACTTGTAATCACTAGATAGCTTGCTCAAGCTTTCTTGCATAAGATCCATTTGTTGTTGTTTCACAAGGTCATTGATTTGGAGGGTTAAAGCCTTCAACTCCTCAGTCACGTCAACCATTTGCTTCTTAAGCTCATTAACTTCTTCTTGACTTGCCACTATCTTCTTAGCTTTTCTTTTTCGACCAACCGGTTTATCAAAAAGTTGAACTTGAACAAAGGTGTTGTCTTTGATTAATCTCCCTTCTCTCCTTGACCAAGTACTGTGGAAAGGGAAATTAGGGATATTCATTGTTAATTATTTGACTCAAACTCTATTCAACATGCAATGGATGGAAGAAGGTAAGAAGAATTAAGGTTGTGATATAGAGAAAGCATGTAGAGAATGGAAAGATGATGTAGATGGAGAGTTATGAAAAAATTAGGAATAGAATGTACCCCCAACTCAAATGACGAAAAAACCAAATTATGCATGAACCTAAGACATGGTCATGGTGAAATATACTCAAAGTGTGTGCTAAGACTAGTAAGTGTAGTGAGTGTAGGTGACATGTTAAGACTCTTGTGTGAGACCATGTGGCTAGACTATGTGACTAGACTCAATTAAGGACTTAATAAAATAACCGAACTGATTAGCAAACTGTTTAATTAGACTCGTCATGATGACTCGAGCAAAATTCTGAACTGTCGCCAAAGCAACAGGACTGTCGTCGCACTCTGCAGTGCAGCGCCAGACGACAGAGTTTTCGCCAGACGTTGCACAACGTAGTGTGGGGCTGCAACCCAAATCGTGGCGCCATTACTAGAGCGTTAATCTGGGACTGCTTTCAGTATTTTAACTCTACGGGACATGCCTAAAGTCGTACTAAGTTAATTCTGATTAAATTATTAGACTTTAATTACTCAAATTAATTAATTAATTAATTAGACAAAGTCCTTTTAGTCATTAATCAATTTATTTAAAGCTTAAACACAATTCAACAAACGGTTAGGAAAAACACATAGAGTATGCATAACAAATAATGCACAATTAGGCAAGTAGGCACAATATGATGCAATGAGTTTGCAACCTAACCATTGCTCTAGTTCTCTAAAGTTCGGGATATGGGTTAGTCAAAGAGGGTCCATGGTTAATTGTCCAGATGCACCGCGCGGAAGCCTTACCTTTTGAAGGGTTAGTGTGAGTGGATGGGACACCGCGATTTATAAACTCGCTTCCATGGTTTGGTGAATTCAACATTCTCGGATGTACCCTTTGTTGCATGGAGAGTTCAATCAGGTAGATGGAGCATGAATTCCGAGAGGGTTATGTCCATATGTAGAACACATATGGGTTTTAGAAAAGTGAGAAAAACTCAATTAGGAAGTAGAATCGAGCAAACAGTGCTAAAAACTGGTCAAAATTAGAACACATATTTCTGGCTCGGTATTGGAAGAACTAGGCGCCAGCGAACAGAGGTTGTCGCCACAATATGGCTCTGTCGCCTGGCGACATGAGTGAAGCCTGGCGACAGAGTCATGTTGTTGGCGACAGAGTCTGTTTTCTAGACGCCAGTTCCTACATGCCTCAGTAGCTTTCTGTGCTCGATAAAATTTTCCGGTTTCGCGCAGCATTATTTTGATCCTAGTTGTGAAAGATATTTCTCAAATTTCCTACGTGTAAAAATCCTATGTTTTTAACTCATTACGGATGGTCTTTCCAATGAGATCTTTTTTTTATGCATATGATAATAATGTTAATCAAAATTACGCACATGAAATACTTAAAACTTTTCGAGTCTCATCCACTCATTCTAAATAATTGCCAAAATAAATTTTAGGAATTAAAATAGAAATCCTCCCCAATGGAGTCGCCAAAAACTGTAGGGAATATTTCAAGCATTACCCCAAACTTGAACCCCACTGTGATCATACACTAAAGCATGGTGGCATCCAAAGGGAAGAAAGCTAGAGCAAAAGAGTCGCCAACAATTTTAGGAACTTATAAACCGTTCACAGGGTGAAGGTTACACCCCTTAATGATCCAGGAAATCATTTACTCCAATAGGTCTGGAACCAAGACTGGAAGTTCGGGGATGAAGGTACAAATCAAACCTAAAAGTGATTGATCCTGCCCTAATAATAGGCCTCTACTTTATTCTGATCGTATTCATGTGCGCTTTCTGACTAACATGAAATCATTAGGTTACCCTAAACCTGTTTAATCTATGGTTGAATATTAATGCACAAAGAAAACTATTATTGGCGATCACTTGAATTATAATCATATTAACCCTAAACAAGATTATTAATTATCTTATTAATCGTGATTTCAAGTACAAATTCCCTTTAAACATGCATAAAAGGCGTGATCAAGCAATAACAATAAATATAATCAAGCAA